TTGTTGAGGCAAATCCCTGAATTCATCTTTTTCTGTTTGGACCAATTTCAGTGAGACTTCTCATACCACTTCTTAAGGACAAGCTAAATCCCTTTTTAAGTCTTAGAAATTACATCAAAAACATTGCTTTCAGTATCGTTTTTTTTAACTGTGGCACACTACCATTCAAATACAGTAATATCTTGTTTTGCTCTTGCATTTCTCTCAAGAACTGGGTGCATCAAATCATGTCATTTTATTTTTTTGAGTTTCTGAAGTTACAACAAAGCTTTTTCTGTCCAGCTTGAAAAATGATTCTCCTGACGCCAACGATCAAACCACTAAAACTCACTGAACTCAATCTTTTATCGACAAACCAGAGCTCACCATCTGTGTGTGTGATGAGTTCATTACGCTGATGAGTTTATGTACCATGAGGTTTTCTTAAAAGCAGAAGAGGGATGGTGATGGGCGTGAAGTCACGAAAAGTTCAAGAGGACACCGGGCCCTGTGAGCCGGGTGGTGTTTTTCACAACCAGCCACAGCAGATAGGCAAGATAATGAAACTATAATGAAAAGATGTGCTTTAAGTCACCAGCCTCAACCAGTGAAACACCACATCCTCTCTCCATGTCACTGCCCTGGTCTCATACTCATATAAACCAAATGCGCAGGGTGGAGGCCGTGCATTTGCCTCGGTCGAGCAAGGGGTTTAAAGGTGTTAGCTGAAAAACAACAAGTAGCTCATCACTAATAAACGTGACAAGCGTGAAGCAAAGTGTGAACTGAGAGTCTTCACGCGAGCCTGGTGGAGCAAGGGACAGGCCGTGAGCAGGGGCGGCTGATGCATGGTGGGGGGAGATGGTGATGATGAGAACAGACACGAGCCACATGAGGCCCCCTGACAATGCAAGAGTCCCCCCGCGGTATCTCCAGCAGTGTACTTATGCACACACACACACACACACACACACACAGATGCATGCATGCAGACTATTTCAATATTACTGCACTGATTTGTTAAATAGGGTATAAACTAAAAATGTAACACCTGAATGTAAAATGTTCCTGCAAAAAAAGTAACGCTGAAATATTTTGGTCAAATTTATTTCTTTATCACTGCTGGATTTGATTCTGTTCATGATTTGCAGTCATTGCACACCCTCTAGTGGTGTTATGTTTTATAACAAGTTACTCCAAGAGCCTACAACTGCAACTCTCTTTTTCATGTGTAATATTATTATGTTTAGCATCATATTATATTCTATATCATCTGAAATATTACTTCTATATTACTTATGCGTATTAACATTCTCATAGTTTACTGTCTCATGTAATTTGTCTTATTTAGCTATTTCTATTGGGCACCAGTTCTGTATTTACTCTGTACACACTTTATATTTACATTTTCACATATTTCTTAGACTTATCACTCTTTTGTTTTCTTCTACTTTTCTTTTATTGTATATTGTACTCTCACTGCAATCTTGGATCAAGTTGGGATTTCTTTCAGGATTAATTAAACCTATCCCATCCTATCTTATCTTTTCTTTACACTAGACTTTAATGGATTCTTTCTTGCATCCTTCCAAAAAAACTATGTAGTAATCTGTCCAGTAATTTTTGCATAATCCTCCTAACAAAATGCAAAAGAGACTATAACAGAAAATATTGTTGCTACTAAAAACTCATATCTATCTGTGCTTTTATTTGGATGCCGACACCAGCGCAGTGGAGTTGGCCTCATGAACTCGACTTAAATCTAAACGGTGTGGGGGAAGTTTCATACACAATTCATTTTGGCAGCGGACAACATCTCAAATTTGTTGAGGCACTATTTGTGGAGCCACGCTGGCTCGTCCACACATGTTGTGGACACCAGAAGTCATTCTCAGTTTGCCTCACCAACACACCGCTGGTCAGCCCCCTGCACCACGAGGGTGCCTTTAAAACGATATGCCTTCTGGGGTGTTGTTTTATGGGCTGCGGTTGCACCATTGAAGATTGTATAATTCTCTTCAAATCAGTTTGTCCCCCCCTCCCTGCTTACAACTCCCCTCCCCCTTTTTTTAGCCCACCCCTGACTCAACAACCAGAAAAAGGTCACATTTCTGAGAAGTGACTTCCATGCATGTTCCATGCTGGGTCGTCACTTTCAATTTCCTAAGACCTTTCATGTCACACACCCATCATCCCAGAAAACTACAAACACACTACTACACACAACCATGTGCACCATTCCACCTTCGCCGGTCTGATATACAGTGTGAAAAACAATACTGTAAAGATATGTTTTCTTAATGTTTCCACTTTTACAACAGAATAACATCCACAGATTAAATCCCTACATGCTGGAGCAGATGTAGGGGAGGTAGAGGAGGGTATGCATGAGCAGAAGTGATCATCTCCTTCTTTTCATGTCCCCCCGAGCTCCTGCGGTATTTGACGCCGACAGACCCCCCGGGACACCCAGTGCACGCTCAACAAACAACTGTCTTTTCCTTTTCCTGCGCACCTTGGGATGGTACGAGATGTTTAACTCCGTGCACAAAATTAATGGAGCATGAAATGCAGGCCTGAAGTGCAGCAGGCTCCTAACCTGCAGGTGACACTGTCTCCATGAAGGCCTTATTGTGACCCGGGCGAGCTGTATTATAACCACATTTGACTGGTGACAATTAGTGACCTTTTGACTATCCAGCAGCCATCCATTTCAATTACACCAACCTGGAAGGCTTTGGTGGGCAATCGTGATGAGCTACTGCAGCCAGTCTGCTTCTACTGTACCTCCACTGCAAAACAAACTGTACTGCCACTGTTATGTGTTTGTGATTTAACATTTTGATACAATGTTTTTGAGTGATAATAAGAAATCCTCTGGATAAACTCAGATAAACAAACCTGTTCTCCGGTCGGTACATCAGTGCTGAAACTCTTCAACACAGTTACATAGAATCCTCAGATCTAAAAAGCAAAACTCTTATTAATGCAACAAGCCATTTAGGTTGTACATGCGTTTTATTATTATTCTTATTATTCTTATTATTCTTATTATTATTGACAAGATTTCTCTGCTGTAGTTTGTGTCTGTCCACACTGGTGTCAATATAACCTACTGTTTATCTCTCTGTTTCTTTTTGTGTTGCCAACTGAAATATGCCACACATATTGTAGTTTAGTTCCTTTTTTGTGGTATCCATTATGAAGCATCCTGTTCCCTGTAATAATTAACATGTTGGCCTAAAGGGCGATAGGGTGCTATGTTTAGACTCTATTTTATAACCTTTTTTTAATGTTTATTGTAATTTTTTAATTCAAGTTTCTCATAAACCCACATTGTTCCCCCCTCATTCTCTGCTCCTCTGTCCTTGTACGTATTTTATTATTACCTGGTAAGTTCAAGAAACACTCAGGCTGCTGTTAAGCAGTTTGTAACATGCAAATAAAGTTGAGTGTTTGCTGAAGTGAACTTGCAGCATTCTCCTTTGCATGCAGGCTGGTGTTGCCACACTTTAACCACCGTGACTTTTCTCAGAATTGCAACAAGACATTTCAGTTGCAATTTTTTATGTTATTTTTGATGGTTGAGGTATAGTGTATGTAGATGTGACATTCTTCAAACTGCTAGTGATTCATCCACACATCATAGCATTGTGACAGCTTTCTTTTTTATCGAGTGCCAGCTTCCTCCTGTATCTTCCATCATCAGTTCCACCTCAGGCCTGCCTGCCTTCGCCTCAGCTACACAGAACTTGAGAAACCTCAGAGGCAGGAGCGTAATATAAAACCTCAAAGTCTCCAAAACATGCTGCACCTACAGTATTTGCACCAAATTGGGCAACTGCATGTTCTGTTTTATTAAACTGTTGCTGCTGTGACATCACATTATGGACACAAAGTAACTTGTATTAATGTTTCTGTGCATTTAACCTGTGCAGAAGCAAAGTTATGTGAGATCATCATTAACTTGATGTCATTATATGAAAGCACGTGTGAAACAGCACCACACTGACATGGAATCCACGTGATCGACCTGTTCATGTAAAATGAAATCTTACCTGAATCGATAACACGTTTTTATATAGGAGCTTTCATACCACATTAACGTTATTTAAAGATGGACGATGCATCCATTACTCCTCCCACTAATGAAACCATAATATCCCAGATACAGATGCTGCCATTTTGCACATTTGGAGCCAGAGTCTGTGCGTCATTGTGCTGAGCCTCAGTATCAAGGTACTGTTTATACATGCACTCAAGCAATCACTAGTTAGTCTCAGCTGTCGATCATGAAGCTCCACCCAGTTTTTATAAACTTACAAACTTACTGGAAGAAAAAAACAACATACATAAGTGTGATAAGAAAGATCCAAAGTAATTATCTTAGAGAAAAAACTATTTGACATGTTTTTTCATTTGGTCCATGTCTCATCCACTAACAGGGAGGAGGCTGGATTCCTAACCTTTTTGCGTCCAGCCAGCAGGTGGCAATCAAGACACTTTGGCTCCACTTTGAGAGAGCTGTCATGTCATCCATTAAGAGGTCTTTAACATTCTTCGACCAGGTTAATGATGAGGCAGTGCAAAGAAATGATGTGTAAAGAGACGTAAGATCAAAATGTTAAACTGAGAAAGGCGAAACAATAAAAAATGTACAGTAAGAAAAATAAAACCATCCAGAATATTGGTATAAAATGCAGACACCACATTCTTCAAATGTTTTGTTCTTTCTTCAATTCATAGTAGTGTTCAAAAAGCTCAGTGCATGAATTCATCATGAGGGTTAGAGCAGGACAACGTTTGACAGATGTGATGTCAGAGAGGAGAGGTGGGATTTGAACACTTCACACAACTTCTTCAGAGGCATTTAAAGTCTCACTGTGAACTTTACAACCAGAACACACTGCAACAGTCAGACTACACCCATCTCTTCCTGTAAGTATGATCTGAATCTATAGCTCTGTCCTCTTGTAAAGATTGAGTTACAGTGTGATCCTCTCCTCAGGCTGACAGGTGGGATGGCTGCTGATAACATCACCCAGATCTCTGCCTCTAACCCTCTGAACCGGAGCGGATGCGACGTGTTTGTGTACCAGAAAGCAGCGGTGGTCCTTTTCCCCATTTTCTACATGGTGGTTTTCCTGATCAGTGTGTGTGGCAACAGCCTGGTTCTCTATGTGATCTGCCAGAGGAAGCACAAGTTCAATTCCACCTCCATCTACCTGGTCAACCTCGCTCTCTCCGACACCCTCTTCACACTGGCCCTGCCGGGCAGAATCACTTACTACATCCGTCACTTTGACTGGCCCTTTGGGGACTTTCTCTGCAGACTGACCACGCTTCTCTTTTTTGCAAACACCTACGCAGGTAATATTAATGCAACCACATCTTTATTTTTCCATTCTGAGCAGCATGTGTTAAAGAGGCTTAGGATGTAGAAATGATCTGAAAGGGACTGCACCTTTTTTCAAGCACATATGGTTCTTTGGTTTTTATCTGTGAAATCATTCATTTGCTTTGCAAGGCTGTTCTGTATATGATCGTCCATTATATTTCCTCCAGGTATTGGTTTCATGACCTGCATCAGCTTGGACAGATATCTGGCCATGGTGCATCCACACCAGCTGCAGTCTTTACGGAGCTCGAGGGTGGTCCGCAGGGTCTGCTGCCTGGTCTGGGCTCTGGTTTCTCTGCAGACAGCTCCCCTGCTGTTCCGCAGCATGCTACGTGAGCACCAGGGTAGAAGAACCTGCATGGAGTACTTCACCTTCGAGGGCTCCCCCTCCATCCCTTATCTCCTGCTCCTGGCCTGCGCCGTCTCCTTCTGCTGCCCGCTCGTCATCATCCTGGGCTGCTACGCCAAGATCAACCTGAAGCTGCGAGCGGCGGCCAAGCAGAGCTCCGTGACCGGCCGATCAACGAGGAACCATAGGGCCAACACCATCATCCTCCTCATCCTCCTCACCTTCATCACGTGCTTCAGCCCGTACCACCTCAACGTCATGCAGTTCATGTTCAGAAAGATCAACCACCAGCCAGCCTGTGATGAACTGAGGGCCTTTAAGATTTCCTTACAGGTAGGAACTGTAGTTTTAATTGGACTTGACACATCCTTCATCAATTTTTCATCCTCACACTCTGTCCTCTCCCTTTAGATGACGGTTTCACTGATGAATTTCAACTGCTGCTTGGATCCAGTCATCTACTTCTTTGCCATCAAGACCTACAAGAAGCGGGTGATGAGTCTCTTTAAGGACTATCTATATACTTCTGCTGCCTCCACAAAAATCACAACTGAGAACAGCAGCAGCAACACCTGAACGAAACCACAGCTGGGTTTTGAAGAGATGGGCAAACGCTGACACGGAGAAAACCTTGTGAACTCTGCTACTCTCGTTTTCATGCTTTGCAACTGACAATTGTGCATGTAAACATGTGTAGTAGATTAAAAAGCAGAGCAAAACAAAAAATCTCTGCAATTTGTTTAAGTTTTGAGCCAAATGATGTTTGTTTGAGAATTCTGTTTAAAATGTATTGTTACATATCCATTGCATTTTTATTTTGATATGATCTGTATCTTATTCTTGTTTTTCTTACTCATTGGCATCATACTGCAACAAAAAAGTTTTGATAAACAAAGTTTGTGTAGTAAATCATTCTCTGATTGTGCGTGTGTGTTTTTTATATTCTACCCTTGATCAATATGTTTAAATTTTTCACTGTACGAAGAGGTTGTGGTTATCAATGTGGTACAACAGTAACTTTCACTTCCTTTATGTAGAGAACCAAATACATGAATCAAGTCATGTTGCAAACATTTTAATCTAGAAAGTGTGTAAAGCCAGAATGAGAAAACATTGCATCTATTTTTTATACCCACATCTGTGTGGGTATGTGTGTGTGGGAGTGCATCGATAAGTACCAACACCACTTCCTCACCCACCTTTCCTGCTCCCTCTCGCTGGCCTCCTTCCTCTTGGCTCCCGCACCGTGTGGTGGAGCTGCTGCCTATTTATGTGTGTATGTATATGTGCGTGTGTGTGTACGAGCAGGTGCAGATTGTCTTTTTATAGTGCAGAGTCCCACATTTAAATTTAATCTCTATGGTTTCCTGACTTTCTGAAAATGCTGTCCCATGATCTTGCAGAACTAGAAAGTGTTGTGCGTAAATCAAGTGTCATAAAGTATGTGTTAAACATGGCTGAGTCATTTCTGGTGTGTGTTGACGTCCTTGTGCAAATAATTTATCAAGTGTCGGATCACGAAGACAAGTAAAACCAACAGATAATATGAATTGTTAATTTCAAGGTCCCTGAATGTCACTTACTGAGTGAATAAGAGATAACAATATGTAGAGCTGAAATCTACTAGATACTACTACTCCTACTACTCCTACTACTACTCCTACTACTACTCCTACTACTACTACTAATACTGGCTGTAATGGAACCCTGATTAACTTCAAGTATCATCTTAAAATAAGATCTGCCTGAGAGTTTATTGAATCTAATTAAGTGGAGCGTTGTTGTGTATTTTTTGTTATTGTCTTGATTAATCTCGATCTTGATCCAGATGAAAAGAATCAGGCAGATTTAAAAGACAGTTATTTACAAGTGATTGCAATTTGGTGCAATATAAGTATCACAAATCTGTCATATAAAAGTCAAGAGTGCTTTGTCTTGTGGGATTTGGCACTTTTACAAATAATAATAATAATAATAATCAGTTGTTGACAAAAAACCTCCGGCCACTACTTCTACTGTATGTGCAATAAACTGTTTGTAATACATTTGTTTTATTATCTAATTTCATACATTTTAAATGAATATTTTTGATTATTTGAAATCAAACCAAATTTTGTTTCAGATGATAAACATGCGTTTCTCCTTTAGGTATTGTATCTGATAGAATTACATGTTGGTTGCAGGTAAAAATGACGGAACATTTTTGAGGCTTTAAATTTTGTCTTCAGAAATGTCTTGAATTAAAAGAGAATCTTCCTCTGACAGAGCAGTTAAGACCGTGCTGCCATCATGTGACTCACTGACGTTACAGCACAAGTCTTCATGTTCTCCAAACAGGAGTCAGATACAAACCTTTGACCTCTTGTCTTCCTCTGCCATCGCGACAGCTGCAGTACCCTTCTCTGACCAGAAGAGAGAACTGTTCGTCTGAGAGGAGGTGACTGGTTTTATAAGATGAAAAAATATATATATGGCATTTCAAATGTGCTCAATATTAAACCTCTAATTTTACTTTATTACAAGAAACTATAACTGAATTGTGATAAAGTCAAATTTTAAACTCATTTGGCTGAAATTCATGAACTTCTTATGAAGTTGCAACAGCAAAATTGAACGGAATAACAGCCACGTGTCAGTTATTACAACACATCCTCATCTATCATTTCCCACTGACCTACTGTGAGAGGGTCGCTGCTGGTTCATGAACTATCGTCCAGTTACAGTGCAAGTGTTTGGGTTTGTACACCAACACGATGGATGTGTAAATATATCATATGATTAAAATGCTGACATTGATCTGTAAAGGGGTTCACTCTGTTCCGACCAGGCACAGTTCCTCAAATGCAGCCAAACACTAAAAGCTTACAAGACTTGATGAAGTCGAATATAAACAGAATTTTTAAATGATTATAAAACATAGATTTAATATAGATAGATTTAACATAGATTTGTAATTGGCTCTTCTGTGTAATGTTGCTAAAAACCAAAAGGTGCAGTAGAAATGAAAGGTTTTTAGTTCATTTTTCTTACACAACATGTTTTTCTGAAGATAAACAGCAGCCACAGGAGTTTCCTGTACCTCTGTTGCAATCTAATCCTAACCACTTATAGAAAAACAAGAGAGACGGCAGCTATTAACTCGTAGTAGAACTCCTATTTGTACCATGTTTTGCACCAGTGGTTCACTTATAATATTAAACATACAAAATTAGACATACAGAGAAAAGCCTAGATGTGTGTTTTTACGTCATTTTTATTGTTTTATCTCTATGTCCAGTTGTCTGACATTTAAATTATTAATTTCATTTTAAGATATTTTCATATGGTAACAACATGGATGATCAAATTGGGAAATAGATAACAAATGTAAACTCAGAGGCACAAAACAGAACGTAAAGGTACAGTGTGTAGAATTTTGTGATATCTAGTGTTGAACACCCCTCACCTCACCCTCTCCTACCAAACATGAAAAAGAACCCGTGGTAACCTTTAATTGTCATAAAAACTCAAAAGGTGTTTAGTTTGTCCAGTCTGGACTAATGTAAAAATCTTGGCGGCCTCTGTATAGAGGGTCCCCTCGATGTAAATATAAAGTAGTTAAACATTAAAAGGCCTTTTCTGGGGTAAAGAAAACTGCAATTCATACAATTAAGATGAAAAGAACTAGTGAAAACATCATGAGGATTATTCTACATGACATTTCTGCCAATAGTTCCCTTTCACCTAAATCTTACACACTTGACCTTAAAAGCCTGAATACACAAAAATGAAAACTGATAGTAGATTATGTTGCATAACACTTCAGAACTAATCTCTTACAGTCATCCACCTTCCAAATAAAAAACAAGTGAGATTAGTAAAAGAATAATAGCACAAGCCTTATATATTCAATCAGATAATTTCCTTTTTGAACTTTATTCTCTGTCATAGCTTCCTTGTGCACAGGATGTACAAACACTGATGAGTATCAAACGTTTTACTGAGAAATGCTAGTTTTTTCACAGACCAGCCTTTAGTTCCTGCAAGACTGAGGTCATTGTGCACCCTGAACTGCTGGATGTGTGTCCCCATGGCCCACTAGCCCCTGATATTCACGCCTCTGTGAAGAGTCTTGGTGTAATTTTGAAATGTTTCAAATTCGACAAGCAGATTTCCTCTGTTGTTAAGTGTTTCTTCTTTCTGCTGAGACTCATAGCGAAGGTAAAGGCCTATCGCTAAAGATCTAGAGAGGGTGAGTCATGCCTTCATATCTTTTAGACTTGTTTACTGTAAAGGTTTGTGGTCATCTATTCAACGTCTGCAGCTTAAGTCCAAAATGCTGATGTTCGCCTCCTGAAGGGAAAGAAAAAGAGGGACCATACCAGAGCTGTGTTGTGATCCCTCCACGTTCTTCCTGTTCAGGAGCGATTTTAAAATGTTAATGTTAACTTTTTAATCCACCGCCTCCTCGCTAGCACGCTTCAAACCATTGTTTAAAACACACCTCTTCTCTTCAACCTTCTTTTCGAGTTCAAAACGTTTTGTCCTTATTTTATTTGATTCTATTTAGTTTTGTCTTATTCTATTTTTACGCTTGGTATTTTGATGTATTGTGTGTTTTCTTGTTGTACCTTTAACTTTGTCAACCGAGTTGTTTTGAATTGTAAAGTAAAATTGACATTGACATTATTATTACTATTATTATTTCTTCTTTGTTGAGAAATGAGACCCCATATCTAATAGCAGAGTGTACAGATATTATAGGTGCCACTTGTTTTTGGTTTTTTGGGGGGGCATTCAGCTCCATTGTCTTCTATGAATAGCCGTGGCAGAACACCATGCCTGCTGTCTGTCAGCGATGGGTGTGATCTGGCCGTCTGGGGCCCGGTGAGTCAGACCCACAAGGCCAGGACATGAGGAAGTTACACTGCTTCCTCTGCTTGTTTTCAACAAAGGAAGGTTCAGGTCATAAAAAAAACAACAGACTATGGATTTATTTGTTTGGCAGCAAATTAAATTATAAGCAGAAGATTCCACACTTGTTAAACAGAAATCTTTTTCTTATTCTGTTCCGTCTTGCACCTGGAGAGGGAAATAGTCAATACTGACTATATGGCTCAATCAAAATGAATCAGTGAAATAATTGACAAAACATGTGCAGCTAAATGTCGATGCAGACCATTCAGGTTGTGTTGTCACAGTTTGTTTTCTGTAGCTGGAGTGATTCAAAGGTGTGAAAACCACAGAGCTTTGCGGAAAACATGTGTGTGTTAATGTATAGCAACCCTTGATTTAAATATTGTTAATATTCATTATTTCTTTCAGTTAATATAATAAAACACGAATGAGTTTTCATGCAACATCAAAGCTTGACCACATGCTACATTTAAACTCGTCTCTGATGTCTCAGTCCAAAGCAAATTTGTGTTTTTACTGTGCATCTCTGAAACCACATCTCAAACCCTAACCTCTATTTTATTGATTATGCTTTCTGAAATCAAAACTGAATTTCAGGGGATTTGGGTAAAAACAACAACAAAAAACCACATTTCCTTCACCAAGGAAACATTTGCAACACACCCAACAGTCATCTGAATGTCAGGCGAAATGTTTTTGTTTCAAGTAAAATTTGTCACAACTGCTGCTCTCATTTTGCGAAAGTCATTCCAAGCCTGAAACATGAGAACAAAGGTGTTTCTAGAGCAATGGGGAAGTTTCTTGTTTTGTTTGTAAAACATTTCTTCTTGTCTGAAGAGATATTTCAGAAACGTCTTAAATTTAATAGAATATTAAACTGAGGCCTTATAGCCAAAATAGTCTCTTTATGAAGTATACCATTTGCAGCCACATCCTGCCAACAGTGCACACATGGCACAGGACGCCACATGAAGCATAGATTTTATTTCCCTGAAATTAGTCGCACCTGCCTCAACAAACTCGGCTTTATCAACCTCAAGAGGCTAAAATTAAAAATGATAATGCATCAGTTCAGTGTCACATGGCGTTTGACACTCTTTACTTTAAACTTTAATCAATGTTGAGTTTGTAGAGAGATACGGAGTTTTAAAGGTTAAACCAAAGGGTGGAGAGGTAGAGACACAAACATGCATAAGTGAGGAGAGAGAGAGAGAGAGAGAGAGAGAGAGAGAGAGAGAGAGAGAGAGAGATAAAGAGAGCTACAACAGGATATTTTGTCACTATGGTTACAGGCAGCAGATACGGATCTTGATTTCTGTGTCATGCTGTCCTCAGTCCGCGTGGCACATTCGAGTGAGTGTCAGGGGAACTATTACAGTTGAGATAAACTTTGGTCCATGTTGTCTGGAACCATTTGACTTCAGTAAATCAGCGGAGAATCAGATTCCATCCGAGAGGTGAGTGAGGGGGGGAAATGTGTGTGTGTGTGTTTGTGTGTGTGTTTGTTTGTCTTTTTCTCTGACCTGTAACAAGAAGATCTTTTAAATTTAGCCACTTAGCTTGTGAGAGGCTGATGGTGTGAAAAACGTGATCTACTCTGCAAACTTCTTGAAACCTAATTTGCAAAAAGAGTGGAACATAAAACTGTATCTAATTTCCATTATCATCATCATCTTCATCATCATCTTCATCATCATCTTCATCATCATCATCATCACACCTTTATAAACTGTATCTGCTGTATTTTGAAATGAAAACATGAGGAATAATTAAATGTGTCTTTACAATTTCTGTGATAAAACACTTATCACCAGAGTGAAAGCAACAACTCAAAGTTGACACCAACAGTTTGAAGCAAACCACTTGATAATGTTTGAGTTACATTGGAAAAGTAAAAACTTATGTTACTGAGATTCAAACCTTATGTATTTCAACTTGCTAAATGTAGGTTTATAACATCTTTTTATTGCGACGTTGCATGTTTGCCCTGATTTTGCCCGGAAATGTGTTTTCTCTGCTGCATGAGGAGATGGCCACAGTGGGAGCAGGTTTTAATTTTGGCTCAAACAATGTGACTTTCCGACTGCCAGCCATTCTGAAGAAGGGCACCCTGGGGAAGCAGACTTCCTCATTTGCAATGAGTTGTTTTTCAACACCCGGTGTTTTTTTGCAGTTAAAATGCGAGAGTGCATGTTGCAGCTGCATTCAGTCTCACAGTAAAGCAGTGTGTTATTGTTCACACACTTCCTTCATCTCACTTTTTTCATTTCCAAACACATTTCCTGTGGGTTTGCATCAGTGGATATCGTGTTAATAGGGACGGTTTAACTTCTGTTTACACAACTCTTATTTCTTGTCATCTTGTATCTTGTCTTTAATCTAACTATGATAATAATATTGTGATATTCTGGGTCTTTATATGACAAATTACAGAATAAAACAGCTAAATAAGTGGAAAAAAAACTTTCAAGCTGTTGTAAAACTTTAATATACTTTCATTTATTTTTAATCTTAAAAATGTCATGACTGACTGCAATTTTGATTAGTGAAAAAACATGAAAGTGGAGTTTGGTCCCTGTCAGGCTTTGCTCCAAAATAGCCACAAGGTGACACTACACACCACAAAAACAACTTCTGTTGAACAGGACACACAGAAAAATTGCCTGACTTACTTATAATAATAATAATAATAATAATAATAATAATAATAATAACAACAACAACAACAACAACAACGATAATAGTAATGATGATAAAAAACTGTATTTATTCAGCACTAGAACAAGATGAAAAGGAAATTCAATTTGTCAAAATTCAAATTAATAATTTCTATTATTACAGGTCACATTGATACTATCATATACATGTTCTTTAAGAAACTATCAAAATTTGCTACTGTAAAACAAACACACTTAAGGACAATTTTTTGAGGCAACATCTGTTTAATTTGTGTGTGGTGATGCAAAATACAATAACTTCCTTATTGAAAGTGAGTCTTAAGCCTGTATGTGCCGTGGGTTGAAGTTTCATATCAGGAAAGACTGTTACATTCTGTTTAACACGTCTGAGTTAGTTTCCTTTAACTTGATGCTCAAAACAAAACAGAAATCTTGTGAAACCCCCGAGCTTACCCAAAGCTATGACTCATTTTATTTTAATTTTTGCAGCTGCTGGTTCCTACAACATCAAAAATGGGTTCCACCGCTGCACCTGTGATTTTTACCTCCTCACCCACCAACAACGGCTCCACCTGCAACACCCTTTACAACCACCGGACCTACGCCAGGGTCTTCATGCCCATTCTGTATTGCACTATATTCGTCGTGGGCCTTCTCGGGAACTGTCTCGCCCTCCACGTCATCCGTCCCAACCTGAAGAAAATGAACTCCACCACCTTATATTCCCTCAACCTGGTCATGTCCGACATCCTCTTCACCCTCACTCTGCCCTTCAGGATTGTCTACTATGCTCTGGGCTTCAACTGGGTTCTGGGCGAGACGCTGTGCAAGATCTCGGGCTTCATCTTCTACATCAACACCTATGCAGGGGTCAACTTTATGACCTGCCTCAGCGTGGATCGCTTCATTGCTGTGGTCCTGCCCCTGCGTTTCGCCCGACTCAGGAGGGTCAGCAACGTACGCTACATTTGTGTTGGCGTTTGGCTGCTGGTCCTGGCACAGACCCTCCCCCTCCTCGGCATGCCCATGACCAATGTGGAAGACGACAATTTCATTACCTGCATGGAATACCCCAACTTTGAGAAGGTCGACCACATTGCCACTATACTGATTGGTGCTGTCTTCTTGGGTTACTTCATCCCGGTGATCACCATCCTTGTGTGTTACACCGTCTTATGTTCCAAACTCCACTTAACAGCCAAGAACAACCATTTGACAGAAAAGTCTGGCCGCAGTCGCAAGGTCATCGGCGTGATCTGCTGTGTGTCCCTGGTGTTTGTCGTCTGCTTCAGCCCCTATCACATCGACATCCTGCAGTACATGATCCGCAAGCTGGTGTCGAGCCCTGACTGCGCTGATCTCACAGCCTTCCAGGTGTCGCTGCACATCACGGTGTGTCTGATGAACCTCAACTCTTGCTTGGATCCATTTATCTACTTCTTCGCCTGCAAGGGCTACAAGAGGAAACTGAAGAAGCTGCTGAGGCTGCAGGTCAGCATGTCCTTCTCCAGCGTGGTGAGGACGTCACCCGAAGGCTCCTCCAAGGATATTATTGATGGCAACAAGGTCCCACTCAACAGCACCACTGCGGGTGCAGCCAGCGAGAGACTCATAGAGAGGAGGTTAAACAAGAGCGAGCAAAGTGAAGCACTGAACCACCAGGAGTTAAATAAGATGTGAGAAACTTTTACTTCTATTTCAATCAGGTCTCCCAGAAACTGATCGCAACATTGATATGGAGGCGGTCATGTCGTCATGGATTCTAAGCCAATGGGAATTCATTCATATTGGACCAGATTAGTTTACAGAAGTGAAGAACATCAACATCATAAAGAAAAGAAAAGTGTTCTTGAAAAATAGAATAAGTCGTCCGGTCAGTAAACTGATGAGGCAGACCACTGAAAAAGACCTGAAAGAGACATCGATGAACATGTGGGACATTTTTGAAATTGACAATTTAATATTTACAGTCAAACCTCACAACGGATCCATCCTCATACGTTTCTTTTTTAGGAAGTGAGTTGTTAAGGTGGAAGTGAAATCAGACTCACAAACTAAGATTCAGTTCACCACTCAGCTGTCAAATCTCAGGAAAACTGAGGAACTGTACGTTTATCATCTCATCATCGGCACAATCACATCATCGTCTCAGCTGCTTTAGAGTTAGTTTAAATGGACGTGAACATTGGTATACCAAAAATGAAAATTCACTCATTATCTATTTACCACTATGCCGATGGAGGGCGCCTAGTGAAGTGTTTGAATCCAAAAAACTATTTTGGAGTTTGATGGGTAAACAGCATTGCAGCCAAATCAAATATAACTGATGTATCTGGTGGCCACTTCTTCAAACATAAAAAAACTAACTAAAATGTCTCATACTGCTCCTGTGGGGACAAAGTGTCCATAAGCCACAACATTCAAATTCGACTTGAAACAGTATCTTTTACATCTTGTTTTTAGCCTAAATGTCCTCTGATACCTTCCTCCTAGTTACTGCTGCAGTTTTCGCTAAAACTCTGCATAGGGTCTTGATTGCCCCCTGGTGGCTATATGTGTAGGTCAATTATCCCGCCCTTTCCATTTTAACAAATGTGACTTGGACTAAGCTACAAAGTACACACAAAATAATTGTTTCCCTTAGATGGTTTCCGTCATTTGTCGTGGGAGCTCTTATCACACTGATGCATGCTGAAGTGGTAATAAACAAATGTCTAATGGATGTGTATCTGTATTATCTTTAGATACATGACCCTGATAAGGATGTAGAAATGCATATGTGGCTTGTTTAGAAGCTTTACTGTTATAATGTGAACTTTCCCTGTCCGCTTTTCTTTGCAAGATCGAGGCCAGCCTGTCAACCATAGGTGGCCCGAATTAGTTTTTTTTGGACCATGATCACCATTTACCACATGGTCCACAAGGTTCACACCTTTCCTAGACCACAACCCCTTTGCTAAGAAAAGGCCCATATTTGTTTTGAGATAGTCACTGTGCCTCAACAAGGCTGTCCCATTCTGAAGGCTCCTTCCTTGTCCTACATGAGGATCCTTCCCAGCCCAAAGTATCCCAGGATTCATTGGGGCTTCAGTGACAAAAAGTTTATCAAAGAGGCAATGATGCCAGAAACCACAAACCCCCCGACATATATAGAGTATATAGTTTAGACAATGAAGGGCCATGAAGGCTTCACACTTCATTTACTGTAATGCATTAAAAACCAACCAGTGTTGTGTGATTGACAGATACCTCTGAATCATACTCTTCACTCTCCTCCTCCTCATCTTCCTCACCACCAATTTGTTCATAAGTTTGAATGTATTGAAATAACATCTGAAATAAAATAACATTTTTGTGTATGTATGTATGTATGTGTGTGTGTGTCACTACCACACTGTCAATGAAAACCGATGAAAAGTTCAAGATACCAGACTTTTGTAAAAGTTAAAATGATTTAAGTTGGGCAGGTTTGTAGGATTTTACTTAATTTCTGAAATGCTGGAATTCTTATTCCAGGTTAAACTTGAGAGGTCGACCATGG